GTGAGCTCTCCCACCAACTGCCTTTTCTGGACACAACCAGAATCGCGGCTCGCGGCTCGCTCCGACGCGCGCCGCACTCTCGTTCAACGCGTCCTCGTCGACTTAGACAAATTCCCTTCGTCGTAGCACGCTGCTCACGTTGTACATACATCTAATTTGACATTATCAGACACGTTTTGTCGCTATGTGTGACAGCAACAAAGCGTGACAGTAAACCTCCTACGTATACACTTCTCGCATCCCAATAACTGCCGCAGCTACACTTGCTATGACTCTACTGTACTTTTCCGACCTACTGTTCGTCCCCTGTCCCCCCACCCCGCCGAACCGAACACTTTTAGGGGGACTGTCCCCCCTCTTACCGCCCCAACGAGCAGCTAGGGGGGACATGTTCGTAATTCAGTGAAATTCATAATTATAATGAAAATCAACGAAGATATTCTGATCGGTGTTTTTGCGCTGTTTTGGCCAAAATGTGGTTGATAACTGTATGCTCTGGCTCACCAAAATCACAGAGCACTCAGATATGAGTGAAAAATCCACATCCAGTGCCCTGTAGGAATCTTTCGTGGTTAAGGCATTGAACAGTGTCCCCTGTCCCCCGGCTCGACGAACAGGGGGACAGATGTGTGGCGCCGGGCCGGCAAACTCCGGGAATTTGAAATCGAACAGTAGGTCGGAAAAGTACAGTAACTGGGAAAAAACAAACCCGTCAGCCACGAAAAGATCCATTCATTACAGTCTCTGCCAGCCAAGCAAACAGGGAGAAGGGCGGTTGTCATAACCGTCACCTGTACCCTACGTATATTACCTCCTTTTTAATTCATTTTCTGTGTTATTCACCCCCGCACGCCACCCAAGAACGACGCCACTGTCTCTACAAGTCCCTCACATTTTTCCGGACATTTCTATCGTTTTATTTCGCCCTCCGAACCTCGTCGAACCTCCACAAGCCACATAAGGAGATCGGCTCGGCAAGTCCCGCACTCGCGCGTCGAGCCTCGTTTCTTAAGTCTCGACCCTCGTAAAATGTCTCCCGTGGCATTTCTCCTATCAATGCACGAAGGACCGAGTACCCGCATGGAACGCAACATGCCAAGGAGACTTCCACAATTTATCTGGAGTTTCTACGATTTTATTCACAGCGGCTTTCAAAACGATAGATAGCCCTCGCTTTTTACGGGTGCACCAAACATCGATATAAGAGGGCCAAACAATGCTCGACCACCCGACGGAAGAAGGCACGACGTCATTATACACTGCTTTTCTTGCACGCCTTTGCTACCGATCGTGTCGATGCCAGCATCCCTACATAAATACATCACTGAAACAGTAGTGCAAGGACAATGCCAGTGTCGTACAGATCACGGTGCAGGGTATTCGCCAATGGTCCTGCCGGCTCCTACAACATCTTTCTGGTCTGTTCTCCGACTCCTCTCAGAGCTCGATGGGTGTGATTGGTGTCTTTCCTGAAAAGAGGTGGTGGTTAGCGGTGCATGATCGCATCTTCGTTGCAGAGGAATCTGCTACTACTTTGCTATGGACACTTTGAAGTACCGGAAAAGATATGGTGCTTGCCAGCATGCCCAATAAATCAATGTCTGTTCGTAGCTATGGTGGTGAGCTCAACTTCTACATACATTTGCATCGTGGTGAGCTCGTTTTTGAGCCTACAAGACACGAAAGAAAGGAATTTAAGTGCGTCTGCGTCTCCTTTCTCCCCTTGGTCTCAGTACGGCCATGACAGGCTGGATGAACGCTGCGGTCGGTATCGGTCAATACGGACAGCATATGACTGAAGCTGAGCGGCAGGTCGAACTTGCCCGACTCTGGCGGAACGCCGGTCCTGCTCAGCTAGAACGGGCTGGAGAGCCTGCTCAAGCACCTGCTGTACCTCCTCCTCCTCCTCCTCCTCCGAACCAACCTGCTCTGGCTCATCCTCCTCCGAACCAACCCGCTCTAGCTCATGCTCCAAATGCTCTGGCTCACCATGATCATCCGCTCCAGCATCCAGCCGCCCCACTCCATCATCCTTACGTTTACGGAGCTCAACACTACGGCGCTGTACCAGCTATGCCCTACTTTGGCCACCAGCAAGCCCCTTATGGCTATCCGCATTACTACTACCAGCAAGCACAGCCAGCTCCTCAGGCTCAAGCGTACTACCCGCACCAAAACCCCATCCCCGCTTATGGCCAACCCGTTCCACCCGTCAACCGCATACAGCATCGACCTCCGACTGCTGCATTGCCTGCACCCGTTGTACCCTCGCAGCAAGGTCCAACTCGGTTCCTCCCACGTCCAGGAACCGCCACACCAAATATTCACCTTGGTGAAGGTGGTACGTCAGCTTTCTGTATTTGGTCATCGTGGATGATGCTTACCATTTCCTCATAGTCTACATGGTCCGTGCATGGATTGCGAACCCTGTCGCGCAAACCTCTTTACAATTTGCTACAAATGAGAGTTGGTCAACATTCTCCGAACGCTGCCGCACAAAACTCGATGACCCAAATGCCGTACTCGGGTTTAGACTCACCCTTGACCCCAAGCGCAAGGCACCGTTCGCCCTGACCGACGAGGAGGAGTTTCGTGAGGCTATGAGTCGTTTGGCGAAGATGTGTTCTGCATCTTCGTCCGTTGAGAAGGAGATCTTCATCGAGAATACGGTCAGTACGTTGTTGTGCTCGCCGGTTCTGGATGAAAAAACTAACATCAGCTTTACGTTCAGCGTAAGGATGCTGAACCTCTGACTGCCAACGCGAAGGGAAAGAAGCGCTCACGCAATGACGACATTCCCCCTTCCATGCCCGAGGACCTCGACGACATCGACAAGGCGAACTGGGCATCCCTTGAGAATGCCCTCAGGTGCGAGCAACACACACGCTCATGTGTCATCGACAAGAAGGGTGGGCCAGATATACACATTCCAATCAGCTATAACTTCAAAGAGATCTGGATCAAGTACATCGTGAGTTGTCTCTCGACTCTTACATATCTACGACGACGTACGTGGTCTGACCACTGCCTGCGCCCATAGAGAAACGGCAGAGCAACGGTCATTTCGCCTCCTCACTGCCTCTTCCTCGAGATCGAGAAGTTGAAGAGGCGTATGCGAGCGGAGAAGGCCAGCATCACCGGCATCACTCCAAGGATCGTATCGGAGGTTCATCTGAATATCAACAGCAATGGCATGTTTTCCGTACCACAGCCACACCAGGGCCGCACTTCCTCTCCCTTACCATCCTCGTCACAGAACGAGTCCAGCGGGTACTACAGCTTTCCCGGCAGTCTTCCTTCCACACCAGTCCCCAAGCGCCCTCGATCCTCGCTCATGCCCAGTCCTCACCACCGCCGTCTCTCTTCACACACGTCAATCACATCCCACTCTCCTCCCTTACCTGCTCCACAGTTCACATCTGGATCAACGCCACACTATCCGACCGTGCACGATGCACTCGTTCAACTCCATGAGTGCAACCCCGGTGCTGGATATCTGGACATGGAGAGTGCGCTATTGAGCATCGGTCTCGAGTACGTGGATCAGCTGTCGAAGGCGGATGTTGGTTTCCTTGAGGGATGTACGGGTCTTCGGACTGAGGAGTTGGAGATGGCCTGCATATTTGCGATGACCGAGGTTGAGCGGGTTGACGAAGAGGAGGTTATCGTTAATGCTCACCAACAGAAGGCGGACTGGAGCGAGCAAATTTTCGAGGAGACGGAGAACTATCGCAATGGGTCGGAGGGGTCGATTGCTGCAGGAGATGGTGGTAGTTGGGAGAACTTTGACTTTGGTGGAACAGAGAATCATGAGCACTTCTCGAGTGGAGATGAGCTATTGGAAAAGTGATTGGTGGCGTACCGACATTGATATTTACTTTAAATCTTCTCGTCTTGGTTCAACCCATGCCTTTGAGGGTTCAACACCCTCACCCTACTTCATAGATGAGTCCTATGTTTCAGTTTGGTTCAACCCGTCGTAAACATCTGTAGTTGTGGCGTACCTTTACGAATGAATTTCAGTTCTCACCGTGTTTCCCATTATGATTCAAAATTGTGCAGTGTGCGTATCATATCAAAGCTCTAATAATCTGCAGGCTTGTGCATACTCGCATTTTGAAGCCCGTGGTCGTGGAAGATAGTCATGAAAGATGATCCTCGATGAGTACCGAGGCGCGTTGGCCGCGCGTACAGGTTTGCGTACAGGCCAGCAACGGTTGATACTTCAGGGCAGGCTCATTGACTTTAGGGCCGGTCTGCCCTCATAGGCCTCATCGTTCAGCCCCGTTCTTTGCTCCGTTTCGACTCCGTTTCTCCTGCCATACACGAGGGGGATCTTTTACCTCTTATTTTGTTCATTTCTATCGATGACTCAGGTTGGCAATGCGATCTCTCGTTCACCAACACCATTCGAGCGAAGAGGATCACTACCTATCAGTGTGGTGCAAAAAGACAGTCACAAAGCACACGGTGTTGGACAGGAGATGACGGAGTTCTATGGTAGCTACAAAGTACGAGTCCATCTATACTTTTATACTACCCCATATCCTGCATGAGTGAACCACCCTCTAGCCTTCTCTGGTGTGACACTGTCATACACAGTCTGCCACAACACGAAGTATGGATCACCCGCTCGACCACGGTCAAGCTCACCGAGAATGTAGTCTCGATTACGACGAATGGATGCCTTGATGCAAGAGAAGGCCTCCTCGATCGGGTTGAGGTCCGGTGAGTATGTTGGCAAGAAGACCAGCCGCATTCCACTGTCATTGTGTGGCAATCAGCTCGGAAAGGCACATAAGACAAAGAGAGGACGTACGTGTCTTCGACAAGTTTGCGTAAGGCTGGAGATTTGTGAATCGAGGCATTGTCCATGATGAGGACAGAGTTTGCCCGTGGCCACTGCTGCATACGACCTAGGACACGTTCAATGAATGTCTGGAAGGTTGCGGCAGTATAAGACTTCTCGCTAATTTCTAGAGCCAGCACACCACTCAGCGACATGGCAGGAAGAATAGAATACCTTCATGTACGGTTAGCAATAGATGGACATGGAAGTACCAGGGATAGCACTCACCGCTTTCCTCGAACAAAGAAATCACGACGGCGGGCGCGGTTCCCTATCGGAGCCCATGCATAATTTCTGCGAGTAACATGGCGGTTGCAATGGCTTTCGTCAACAAAGACGAGCTGATCCGGTCTATAGTACCTCCCCATAAGAAGGCTATATGCGACGCGATCAGCTTCATTGCGCTCTCTTGCGGGACGGGTAACCTGTGATTGAGATATCAGTACACCATGACGCGCAAAAGATCGGAAGGAGTGTTGCGTACCCGTTTACGGCTGAAGCCTCTGCGAAGAAGGGTGCGGTAGACAGTGATGGTGCTAACATGGAGCTGATAGGTCTCCCACAACAGAGTCTGTAGCTCAGAGAGGAGGAGATCAGGCTGCCTCTCGATGCAACCCTCCAGAAACTAGACGAGTGCAGACTGTATCAACATCTGTTGTACCAAGCGAAGGGGATGTGGTCGATGGGCTATAAGGTGCGTACCGTGGCTTGCATGCTGTTCAGAAGTCTTAGTCTGCCTTCGATAAGTGGTTTCTTCACCACACCACCTGTCCTTCGCTCCACGGATCGGACACGGTGGACGGTTCCTTTTTCGCAGCCAACAATGTCGGCGATCTGCCGCGCAGTCATGCCGCGTTTGGTCAACTGGACCATGAGCTCTTTGATGGGGGTTGGGATGTGGGTGCGGACCATGGTGAGACGAGAAAGAGAGAGGGCAGAAATGCCAACGTTCGACGTCAACCAAATCACGATCGTGAAGAACAACGAGAGTCAGGACAGCGCGTTCCGTGAGACGGCCGTGCATAGCGCAACGAACCCACCTTCGGACGAGATCAGTGTTCCATCAGGCACATGATGCAAATCTGGCGATTGCACTTGATCGAGCAGTGTTTGGCTGTCTTATATTGGTGTTTGGTGCGCCCGTAAAAAGCAAGGGCTATCTATCGTTTTGAAAGCCGCTGCAAGCCATACACGACAGGCGATCGCAGCTACGGAAGCTCGCACCGAGCTGCCGGTTCCTGTGGAACGTTTCGAACTCCGACGTGCTGGAATTTCCACACCCCTTCTAACGACGCTACAGGACGCTACACTGGGGGGTTTTACTCCGAACAAAATTCTAGACGAACCTCTCGAGCTCGGGCATTCCAACGATCCAACAATCTCGGCGATTGGACCACGGTAGAATATACTACGACGCGATCTCGGTCTCAACATCACTCAGGGCCATCTGATAGCGTTTCCCCTCGTGTATCTCGACCAGTTTCCACTCAATCACCGACGTTTTGATATCGAGAGGTTCCTACTCGTTCATAGGTTCATTCTACGGTGTCTCCGGATTTTATCTGTGCCTGACTGTTCTAGGATAAATTGTTTATGCCCGAACTAGCTGTACCCATTGTTCTCTAGATGGGTTTTTCCTCTTTCTTAGCTTCGTTACTCGTCTTATCTTTTCGTCTCCCTTTGGGCTCCTTAGTTTACATGCTACAGACACGTTGTTCGAGTTACTTAGTGTTCTCCTTAGGGCACGAACTCAGTGTACGATTA